TGATGTCCTGCTCTTCCTGGTGGGCTCCAAGAAGGACCTGAGCGTGAGTGCGGGTCCCCTGAGGGCCCTGCCCGGGCATGGACTGGGGGGCTCAGGGCAGGGGCTGGGGGCCGAGCCAGCCCCATGATGCCATCGCCCTCCCCCTGGCTGGGTGCACGCGGGGCTGGCCCCAGGCTCCCGCTCACGCCCCGTCCCCTCCGGCAGACGCCCGCGCGGTACAGCCTGGCGGAGAAGGACGCTCTCAAGGTGGCCCAGGAGATGCGGGCCGAGTACTGGGCCGTCTCCTCCCTCACAGGTCAGCTCTCAGAGCAGGGGCACCCGGGGGGAGGCTGGGCTGGGCCGTGCCCCCCCGGCTGGCAGCACTGGGGGCAGGGGAGCGGGGTCCTGGCCGGGAGGGCCGTCACCGAGCTGCGGTCCCGCCGGCAGGGGAGAACGTGAGGGAGTTCTTCTTCCGCGTGGCGGCGCTGACCTTCGAGAGCAGCGTGCTGGCCGAGCTGGAGAGGAGCAGCGCCAGGAAGATCGGGGACGTCGTCCGTGAGTATCCGGGTCCTGGGCCTGCGGGCAGGCTCCCCCACCGCCCCACCCCGGGGAGCAGCACGCTGCTTGCGGCTTCTCCGGGCGCGCAGGGCTGAGGCGCCCCGTGCCAGCCAGGCGGGGTGGGGGGTGCCCCTGCAGCGACCCGCACCTGCTGTCTCCTAGGGATCAGCAGCAACGACAGCGACGTGTACCTGACAGCGCAGGGGAAGAAACCCAAGTGCTGCCGCTGACGGGCCGTGCCAGCCCCCCGCAGCTCCGTGCCCCTACCAAAGAGCTGTGGCCTGGGCACGGGGGCACTGCTGGCCTGGAGAAACGCCTCCCCCGTGCTTATGGGTCCTGAGCCTGCCCGGCAAGCACAGCTGGGCAGGCCGCGGCTCGGTGCCCGCCCCTGCCTGGCCCGGACAGCTGCCTGCACCTCCGTGGCCTCTCCGTGTCCCCCTGTGCTGCTCCTGGCGCGGGGAAAGGCTGCCCTGGCCTCTCCCATGGCAGCTGGGGAAGCCCAGCCTGGGACCGCGGGCCAAGCTCAGCTGGGGGGTGCTTAGAGGGGCTGGGGCCGAAGCCCCTGGGCACAGCTCCAGCCTATTTCCTATGCAAATTAGCATGTCATTAGCAGGCTTCCTGGCCTCCTCTCTTAATAAAGTCTAAGCTTTTATTAATATTTAAAGGCCAAGCTCCTACTGTGCGAGATGGGGAGGGGCGGGTGCCCCAGGCATGAAGCGCTGCCCTGATGGCTGGCATGGGGCAGCATCCCCGGGCGTGCGGGGAGCCCTTGGCGGGGCAGACACATGCAGGTGGAAGCTGCCCAGCGAGGTGGGCTATTCATGGAGGTCGATAAACCGGAGCCGCAGGAGCAGCAGCCCAAGGCCCCGGTGCGG